GAAATTTCACTGAAGAGTAAATGGATCATTCAATATATTTATAAATTAATATGCCATAAGGGTAGCAAATCTCTGTTCTTTTGAAAATGTGATAATGTAAGAACAAAAAGATTAATTTAGAGTATTTATTTCTGGTTACATATATAAGAGGTACATTGAAAATGATTTTCTTGCCCTGGTCAGTTTTTCTCAGTGGTTAGAGCACTGGCCTGTGGTCCGGAGAGACCCGGGTTCGGTTTTCACTAAGGGCGCATACTTCGGTTGCAGTTTGTCCCCGGCCCTAGTTGGGTCGTGAGGGAGGCAGCCACTCGACGTGTCTCTTTCACGTCGATGTTTCTCTCTCTCTCTCTCCCTCCCTCCCACTCTGTCTGAACAAAAAAATGGAAAAATGTTCTCGGGTGAGGATAAAAAAAAAGAAAATGATTTTCTTTTCAAAACTTGTTGATCTATTAATTGGTATAATGGCTTAGAGCTTGCCTTTTCTTAATAATATTCTGAGAGTGTCTGCAACTTTTCAATATTTTGACTCATTCGTTTTAACTGGAGTCAGGCTTTCCTATGTGAAGTACTATTTTCCTCAAACTGGGAACCTACTAATAATTTCAATTTAAAAAGAGCTTGTGGCAAAAGGACTTTTCCAATTCTTGGCAAGTTTGAAGTTCATTGCAATTTTACTGTGGATAGAAATCTTTCCAAAGTGGGGGGGAAATCACTCTACAAAGTAAAACTTTCAATCCTTTTCTCTCATGTGACTTGAACATAAAATGATTTTAACAGCCATGTATGAATCTGGACATTATTCTTCGTTGTTTAGTACTTCAAAAGCACTTTCAAGAGGGAATTGTTTTGCTTATTTGTGATTCCAAATCAAATACACAGAGAGATTTGGAAGATTTGCAACAGGAAGTAATCTCAGTTCTATGTAGCCACTAATCTTGTGCAGAAAAATTCAACTTTTATGAACAAAGGAATAGCATTCTCTTTTAAGTTATAAATACAAGCCAATGTAGCTTGTATTGTTTTAATAACTAAAATGAAGATGCTGATTGTAAGCTCATTTTTTGAGCTGCATTCCAAGGATTATTGTAGAGTTGGTCTGGTCCTGAGAAATCTAATTCAACAAATTTCTCACTCTATAGAAATACTGTGTTCATACATGTTATTACATTAATAACTGCAAAGTATCTACATAGGTCTCTAGAGTTATAGAGCCCTTTCATATTTCTAACTTCATTTAATTCTGACAATTTTGTGAGATAAATATTATTCCCATTTAATGTGGATACGTGAGAAGAGGGTTACTTAACATCATCTAGTTAATAGGTGATAGAGCCAGTATGAGAAGCCAGGTGTTCTGACCACAGATCCAGTGCCTTTCCCATCACACCATAGCCTTTTGTCTGGTTCCTTAGCTGGACATTACATTGTTGGCTCCACTTGAGTTCGTGATCAATTAAAATCTCTAGATCTTTTTCATATGTTATTTTAAAGTTAGGCTCTTCCTCATCCCGTACATCTGTGATTGATATTTTGAACTTAAATACAGGACTTTGTTTATCCTCATTCGTTTTCATCTTATTATTTTCTACTTACGGTTCTAGCCATCTGAGATCTTTTCAATCTTGATTTTGTTATCCAATTTATTTATTATTCCTTCCAGCTGTGTGTCAACAGCAAATTTCATAAGTAGAATGTCTGTGTGATTATAGAAACCATCTTTGTACTGTCTTAAATACACTATATGCCTATCACGTAGTTAGAACTTAATAAGTAGTAATTAATAAAAAAAGATTTTTGTATGGGGTAGGGAAAAGAAAACCTATATGTAATCTTTTATCAAAAGAAAAACTACCCTCAATATACTACTCTAAGTTATTTCTTTTGGACATAAATATTCCAAGATTACCATAGAACTATTCTGGTTCTCTCTTGTGTTTTGATATGTTTATAAATAATATTTTTCATGGTAAAAAAAAAAGTGGTTAACTATTTTTTTTCATGCCTGAATCCATTCTCAGTATTCTAATAATCTATTGTCTTGTAACTCTAGTTTTCTGAAATTGCCCCAATGTCACTAAGGGCTCAAGAATTTCTCAATGGGGTCCTGAGGAGAGGAAATCTAGTTACAGTGGGAGGGCTATGGAACTTATTTTGTGACTGTATTTACACAGCAAATAAAGGTTTTTATTTTACTTAGATGTATGTTAAAAATTAATAAAAATAAAAATAACAACTTTCTAAAGACATTTTTATTCATGCTAAATATGAGATTGAGAAAACATTATCTGTACTAAGCAATATAATTGTTGTATTTTTACTTAGAGTGTTTTATGGGTGGTGCTGATGAAGACTTTGTGGCGGGAGGCTAAAGTCCCTCAAGGCATCTATCTGTATCTGGGTACCATGGAAGTGATCCCAGCCGACCACTTAGCACTCATTTGCCTTCATGCACTTACCATACTCTGTAACTCTCTATAAGCAGTAAGTTTATAATTCTCTGTAAGCAATAACTCTGCTGACATTAAAGAAAAGTTGTGTAAAAAGATAATGTCTCCCATCCAAGTACTAACCATGCCCAGTGATCCCACTTCTAGGAATATACCCTAAGAAACCTGAAACACCAATCAGAAAGAATATATGTACCTCCATGTTTGTAGCAGCACTATTTACAACAGCTAAGATCTGGAAACAGCCTAAGTGTCCATCAGTAGACGAATGGATAAAAAAGCAGTGGTACATATACACAATGGAGTACTATGCAGCTGTAAGAAAGAAAGATCTCTTATTTTTTGAGACTACATGGAGGGGCCTGGAAAGTATTATCCTAAGTGAAACAAGCCAAACAGAGAAAGACAAGTATCATATGATCTCACTTATTTGTGGAATAGAATGAACATAACAGTCTGAGGAATGGGATAGTCCCAGAGACGTAGAAGTGGGGTACAGACTGACAATCCCCAGAAGAGGGGCGGGTGGGGGAGAGATAAACCACAGAACTTATATGCATGTATGCATGAACAATGGACATGGACAACAAAGCTGGGGACAGGGCAGGGAGGGAGGGGGAGGGGGGAATCAGTGGGGGAAAAAGGAGAATCATCTGTAACAAAAATAAATTAATTAATAAAACAAACAAACAAAAAGATAATGTTAACACTTGGTACTGGTTTTACAGATGAAAATAAGTTTTTAGATAACATTACTATAATAATGATGTGATATAATACAATATAAAGTTTATTGTATTAACAAAATTTATTTAATAGCTTTGTCAATTGCTTTAATTCTGTACTTATGGAATTAATAACATTCAGAAAGGACTAGTTAAAACCTTCCATTATATTTTAGGGCATCTCATGGTAGAAACTATTTAATAGTATTTACATTCATGTGGATTCCTGAAGATATGGGATTATAGTTCCATTATAACCTACTCTATTTAACTTTCAAAAAGTAGTTTTGATCTTTGCATTTTCACATTCAATTTTGTGTATTTTTTTGCTTAAATGGAAAATAAATTCAATTGGTCTAAATCTTAAATATAATATTTAGGGATCAAGGAAGTGGAGGTTCTCATAGACGTCTCTAGTCAAAAAAATATAAAATATGTCACCCTGAGAAAACTTGATTTTATGAAGCAGCTGGACTGGAAACCATTCTAATTCTTCTAATCCATAGTCAGTGGATTTCACTGCCATTATCTTTGCAAACATCTGAGAGGGTTAATTCAGTGTTCTCTCTGAATATATATACGTAGTACGTATATAACTACTGAATATATAATATGAAGTTGTGTTCTTTTAGACTTCATGAATTATATCAACAAATGTTCTGTAAGTAATCTTCAGCACAATGTTAGTTATAATTTGAGATGTTAAATTTCTCTTTCTCTAATCATTTATTTGACATTTAAACTTCATCTTTTTCTGAAAAGGATTTGGGATGACTTTGGATTTTGAGAAATCTCGTTGTGACTGAGTGGCATTACACATCAGTTGTAATTGTCGAAACTTCCTTTATCTGTGTAGATTTCTTTGTTTTGCAATTAATTGCTATCCCTAAAGGAGCCACTGGTTTTATATTTGCAGAATACATTTCCAAAACTACTTTCTTGGCATCCTTTTTAGTGGGTAAGAATTAAATTTAGCTTTCTAATTTTCTCCTACTTATAACATTTGGAGATAAAAGCAAGAGTGTATTTTGAATATTCAACTATTAAATCACTTGGTCATATTTTCCTTGAATGATATATTTGAATCATCTTTCTTATTTTCTTAAATATTCAAGTTTTTAATCAAGAAATCATGCCTCTCAGTCATCATTTTGTTTTTGTTCAATTTATTTCTGTTTGTTTTCTTTTTTAAAATGTATCTTTATTGTTGAGAGTATTACAGATGCCCCTCTTTTTTTCCTCATTGACCCCTCCTTCCTCTCCCCCGCTCCTGCCTTCACCCACTCTGTGTTCATTGGTAATGCATATGTGCACTTTGTTAAGTTTTCTTTTTTTTGTCCTTTCTCAGTTCTCTATTTCATCTGAGCATTTCTCCCTTTCTCAATTTCTTGAGTTACATATACTGGTTCTTTTTTTTTTTTCCCTAGAAGAGTTGTACCCTGTAATTCTTAGGGTGAAGAACTTGTCTTTTTCTAGGATTATGTATTTCATGTATGTTATTAAACTTATCATAAAACTTTCTTTCCAAAGCAGCTCAAATACAGGAATGTTTAAGAAAGATCTCTGAAGAGTCTAAAATTGATCTTTCTAAACTGTTACAAAAAATATGAAAAATATACATAAAACTTGTATCACTAAAATGCATTAAAATGCTGGTTGTAACAATGAATGAATTTGTAAATGATGAAACATCAAGGGTGAAAAGTTCTCAATGAATACTGGAATTTTTAAGGGGAATTTTTGTGATTCCTTGACTACTAGAGAGTGTATTTCTATCTAGGTGAAAAATACATAAATTGTATATTTTCCTCTTTCTTCCCATTACCAGATGAAGCAAACCTCAATTAGATCCCAGTTTTCTTGTACTTACAAAGATGACTGCCTGATAAGCAAGAATACATGGAATAATGTGAATTCAGCATCAAAGCCCTTGTGTGTTCTTCACATGGAAAATGACCTTTTTGGTAACTGACCTTATTTAAGCAATTTAATAACAGTTTAATTCCAGTGTATGGTTTTAACTTAAGTAAAACTAGATTTTTTTTTTCTTTTTACAAAATGTGAAATGTAGAGGTGTATATTTTTAAAGTTTTGAGTTTATTTAAAAAGTTAAATCTAAGTACAAATTTATAGACAGAATAGGACAGTTTGATTTAACTAAATATTTAAAAAATGATTGTAGCATTTAAGGATTAAGTGTCATGCATTCAAACAAAGAAAGTACTTGTTTATAGGGATGAACAGTGATATGGTAAGATGAAAAGTAACGTGATAATATAGTCATAATTTATATCATTATTTGATTACAAATCATACATTTTTAAATACTCAGCCATTTTCAAAGTTTATTGTAAAATTCTCATGTGTAATAATACTAAGTATTCTATAATTCCTTTTCTCTTTCATCTTGCATAACAGAAGGTGTAAATTCATCTGTTGGAAGACCAACAATTAGAACAAGTTCTGGAAATGTTCATCTGGACAGAAATAAAAATAAAAAAGTAGAAAGAAAATCAAGTAGTCAGACAGGAAATAAAAGTTCAAAAAGGAAACAGGTGGATTTAGATGATGAAAACATTCTCTGTGATAATGGAAGTGAACCACCCCAACATAAAAATGTTAAGATACCTAAGACATCAAACGATTTGCAGAATAAATTGGATGGCAAACTAGCCAGAGTAGCAAAAAGCAACAAGTGTACTGCCAAGGACAAATTGATTACTGGCCAGACAAAGTTAACTCAGTTCTTTAGACTATGAATTTGTCTTTTATGTACTTTTAGATTTATGTATATATGAAACCATTCATCAAAGGCATTTACTTAATTTTTAAGAGATCAAGGTGTAAATTATGATGCTTTATTATTTTGGTCTGGAGTGTATGTAAGGTTAATATGTTAAGCATTATTTTAAAAAAATACTAAGTCATAGTGATGCAGAATATTCACAAAGTTTAATGTACAAATAAAGTATATCATTTAAGTTACTGGTATCTCTTTATACTACTTTCTTTTAAAACAGACATTTCAAATAATATGTCATAGCAACGGTAAGGGCTTCCCCCCCCACAGGCAGTTAAATGATTTTCTTTTCTTCTGCAAAGATGATGTGGACCAACAGGTATCAGACTTGCCAACATGGTCGATAGACTCTTCCCAGCATACACCTGAGCACTGAAAGAAAAAAAAAGGTTTAAATTGTTTAAAGGACTATTACTATCACACACAAAAAAATTATTAAAAATGAAAATAGTGGATCTAATATAGCTAATTCTACATCAAAACTACAACAACCAATTAAATGCCTTTTAATTTCACATATTTGGCAGGGGTCACTTAATAGCAAGTGTAATTGAACCATGGTCTTATTTAATTTTGTCATGATTGGATCCAAATTCAGTTAAACTCAGACTTCTATTTTATGTTACTAAGATACAGAATCAAATTTTAAAGGACTACTCACTGTCAAAATCTCTCCTTCCTATAGGGAATTTGGCCGAGTTCTCTTCATCGCCACTCTCTCTCTTTTCTTGTGTTGGTTCAGTGTTCTGAACTCCACTCTCAGCTGGAAAAGCTACAGTTCCTTTTAGTGCGAAAGAAGGTTTTAGAGCCAGATTCAATGGCAGACCATGATTCAAGAAATTATGTTTAAGGCCTGCATTCTGTAGAGAAAAGGTTGAAATGTGTTTTAGCTGTCTTACTGGAATGGTAATATAATACAATTGCATTATATTCTTATTGATTAATTAATTCAAAGATGCACTGTTTTGACTTTTAAAAAATCTCTTAGATACAAGGTCTTGTTTTGAAAAAAAAAAAAGCTTTTAGATAAGAGTTGTTGTCTAGGATGAAAGAACAACCTGCCATGTATGATATTTCATCAGTTGTCCTAATGCATATTGTAACTATTTGCATAGACTTCTGTTTATAAAATAAAAGTATTGACTCTACTGTCAAGGCATCTGTAAAAGTCATTCAAATAACCATTAAAATAAGGGACAAGTCATATTGCCACTTACCCTTGAATTTTTGTTTTCTTCATCATTCATAAAAGCGCTGTCATCATTTTTATATTGTTCCAGGGAAGGTGCAGCAACAGCTGGATTTTCTGCAGTATCTTCCTTCTGAAAGGCTTTCCCCAGCCTAAATGTGTTAAATACCATGTCATCTTCTAAATTTCTTATGGACTTGGATGCTGAAAGTAAAATGCCTTGGGAAAGCAAAGAAAAAGTTAGTATTAATCTGTAGAAAGAGAGACTCATTTTTGCCATTCCTAGTTCAATGTTTGCATAGAGTCAGACAAGGATGTGTAAAATGGAGAAAGTTTCTCAACCTGCTTCATAAATGATTCCTACCTTTATATATTTTCCAGCTTGAATAGCAAACACTTCAAAGACAGACTTTCATCACTTCAGAAATGACTCATGTCGAGCTAACCTTTTATATAGCTGCTAATTCCTACATTGTTTGGGTTTTAGTGGCATATTGTTTATTTTGAATGTGAATTTTCTCAGAATGTGATTAAGATCCTTGGTAGAATCCTTTCTGTTGAACAGATTATAGTCTCTTGAAAATGGGTGGTTATTATGGAAGATCACAGGACATCAAGCCCTCCATGTTCTTATTGTTTCCTGTATATTTTCTGATTAAGATATTAAAACCAAAGTTATTGCACTTAATGATGATAAGGATAAAAGTTTTATTTACTTTTAATCTTGATCAAATTGAAATAATCTTCCAAAAGGATTTTCTTTCATAAATGCTTGATGTAGTCTTTGATGATTAAAGTGTACACCTGTCAGTGTGAACAAAGTCATTCATACTATAACTAGAATTGACCTGCCAGCTGTGTTTTAGCTCTGCATTTACCAAAGGTATTACTGATATTTATTAATGAATTTAGCAATTAATGAATAAGCATTTCATAAAGAGATTATTTATGTACTCCTTAAATATAAATTTTGGATAATGAGTATATTGTATACTTTTTTTTATCCTCACCTGAGGATATTTTTCCATTGGTTTTTAGATAGAATGGGAGGGAGGGAGTGAGAGAGAGACATTGATGTGAGAGAGGCACATTCATTGGTTACCTCCCACATGATCCCTACTGGGGCTGAAGATCAAACCAGCAGAGGTCCGTGCCCTTGACCAGGAATCAAACCTGCTACTCTTTGGTCCTCAGACCAATGCTTTAACTGCCAAACCAAACTGGCCAGGGCTATATTGTATGGTTTTTAATTAAGCATTTCAGAGTTCATTTATAATTTTGACCACAACAGAATACATTCTCATATATGTCTTCTGATACGTATAAGAGTTTGGGTATATTTCTAGGTATTAAATTGCCAGGTCATGGAGCATGTGCATGTTCAACTTTACGATGCCAAATGTTTACAGAAGAGTAGCAACCAGTTTAAGCTTCCACCAGCAGGCTATGAGAATTCCCATTGCTCCTTGTCCTAGCCAACACTTGGGTATCTTATTCTCTTTTTAATTTATATTTCCCTAATTACCAAAAAGGTTGAGTGTCCTTTCATATGTTTATGAGCCACTTATCTTTTCTCTTATGTAAAATGCATTTTGAAAAAAAACTTGTCCATTTTCTGTTGAGTGGTTTGCCTTTTTCTTTCTTTCTTTTTTCTTATCCTCACCCAAGGACCTTTTTGCATTTATTTTCAGCTAGAGCTTGAGGGAGAGAGGGAGGAAGAGAGAGAGAGAAACATAGGTGTGAGCGAGACACATCGAGTGGTTGCCACCCACAAGATCCCTACCGGGGCCGGGGACAGACTGCACCCGAGGTACCTGCCTTTAGTGGGAACCGAACGTGGGCCTCTCTGGTCCGCGGGCCGATGCTCTAACTGCTGAGCCAAACCGGTCAGGGCTGTCTTTTTATTGATTCATAGGAGTTCTTTATTCATATATCCTGGATGTTAATTATTTGTTAGTTATATATGCCCTGAGATCATTAACATATTTCTATATATTCTAAAAGTTTAAATGTTTTTACTTTCACATTTAAATTCTTAATTTATCTGGAATTTTGTATATGACACAGGATACACATTTTACTTTTTCTAAAAGTCCTTGTACATTTCTTGAGTAATTCATCCTGTTCCTACTAATCTGCAATGCATTCTGCAGTGTATCAGGTTTTTATATATGTGTGGGTCTCTTTCTGAACTCTATTCCACTGCCAAATCTACAGTCTTTTTTTTTTTTTTTTTTTTTTTAAATATGTTTTTATTGATTTCTTAGGGAGGAAAGGAGAAAGAGAGAAACATCGATGATTGATAGAGATACATCATTGATCCGCTGCCTCCTGCACAACTCCCACTGGGGATTGAGCCCACAACCTGGGCATGTTCCCTGACTGGGCATCAAACCGGGACCTCTCAGTCCATGGGATGATGCTCAATCCACTGAGCCCCACTCTGGCTAGGCCATATCTACAGTCTTAATTATAATTGTAAAATAATTTTGGATAACTGGTAGAACAAGTTTCTCAGCCCTCTATTCACCCATCAGTTTTTCTTCTATAGCAGTCCCTTGGCTATCACCCATTTATTTTCCATATACATTTTTTTTTTTTTCATCCTCACCTGAGGACATTTTTCCATTTTTTGTTCAGGTAGAGTGGGAGGGGGAGAGAGGAAGAGAGAGAGAAACATCGATGTGAAAGGGACACATCAAGTGGCCGCCACCCGCACGACCAACCAGGGCCGGGGACAAACTGCAACCGAGATACATGCCATTAGCGGGAACCGAACCCGGGTCTCTCGGGACCGCAGGCCGACGCTCTAACCGCTGAGCCAAACCGGCCAGGGCTCCATATACATTTTAATATCAGCGTCTCACCATCTGTGAGAAACCTTGATGGAATTATGAAGGGAACTGCATTGGTTCTATAGATGGATTTCAGAGGGGACTTGACGTCCTTAAAATAATTTTCTTATCCATGAACATGGTATATTGTTTGGTTTTATTTACTTAGCTCTGCATTAATCTTTTAATAAGAATTTCCTTTTTTTTTTCATGAAGGTTGAATTATATATTATTTGTTGAAAGAATTATAATTTTTTATAATTATAATTAAACTTTTTATTTTTAGTTATTATAAATGGTATCTTTAAAAAGTTTACCTTTTCTAACATTGCTGATCTATACACATGTAACTGGCTTTTGTGTAGTGCTGTAATATAAAAACTTTCTAAACTCTTTTTAGTTCCAAATAGTTTATAAATGTATTAATTCTTTGGAATTTTCTATGAAGACACGTTATATTAAAAATAAAGTAATGGGATTTTATTTCCTCCTTGCAAGTCCTTCTACATGTGTGTATGTGTGTTTATCTGTGTGTCTGTCCATGTACACATACAAACTGACCAAAACCTCCAGTAAATGTTGGGAATGGAGATAACAGACAGCTTTGCAGATTTACTGATTTTACAGAGAATAGTTTTAATGTTTTACCACTGAGCATGATGTTGGCTCTAGGTTTTTTATAGACATTCTTTATAACTTACAGGATGTTCTCTTCTATTTCTGGCTCATTATTAGTTTTTCTCACGAATTGTTGTTGAGTGTTATTGAATACTTTTTCTGCATGTATTGAAATGTTCATACCATTTTTTCTTTATTCTTTAATTTAGTAAGTGAAATGAACAGATTTTTTTCATGTTAAATCAACCTTTTCATGTTAAAAGGTTTATGGCACAAACTTTTTAAAAATGTTACTGGGTTCAATTTGGTATTATTTGAATTAGTACATTTTGTATTTATTATAAGGAGTGAGATTGTTCTGTAAGTTTTCTTTCTTATATTGCCTTTTTCTGGCTTGGCATTAAGGTTGTATTAGCTTCATAAAATGCACTGGAGAAAACGGTTTATTTCTTTTCTGTAAAACTATTTAGGCTTGGTGAGATTTTTTTTTTTTTTTTTTAACTCGTTGATTCACTTTGTTCACTAGCTATAGAAATGTTCAGCTTCAGGGTTTTGTTTTCGTTAGTTTTTTTTAAAGAATTTAAAGTATTGTAGAATTGTTTATTTCACTTGTTTTCAAATTTGCCAGTATAAAATTGTTAATAATATTGCCTTCTAAATATTTTAAGCTTTACTCCATCTGTAGTTGTGTTTCATTCTAATTATACTTATTTGTGACCTCTTTGTCACTGTCTCTCTTGCTTCTACCTCTGTCTTTTTTTTTTTTTTTAATATGTTTTTTATTTATTTTTTAGAGAGAGAGGAAGGGAGAGAGAGATAGAAACATCGATGTGAAAGAAACATCCATTGGCTGCCTCCTGTATGTCCCCTACTAGGGATTGAGCCCACAACCTGGGCATGTGCCCTGACTGGGATTTGAACTGGGACCTCTCAGTACATGGGATGACACTCAGTCCACTGAGCCACACTGGGCGGGGTTCTGTCTTTTGATCTAGCTTGTCTAGTGGTTTATCAGTTTTGTTAGCTTTTTCAAACAACTAATTTTTCTATTTCACTAATTTGTTCTTTTTATTCTTTACTTTTTTGAGGTTTATGTTGCTATTTTTCTAACTAAAATTGGAGAGATAACTCATTAATATTTAAACTTTGAAAAAAATTAGCATTTAAGGCTATACATTTCTTTTTATGTATCATTTTTGCTAGTTCCCACAATTTTGATAGGTAGAATAGTCAATGTTCTAAGTTTTATAATTTTACTTATTATTTCTTCTTTGACCCATCACTTACTTAGATATTTTTAACATTCCAAAAATATGGAAATTGAAATTTTGTGGGAGAGGGTACTGAGTTCCACCTAAATTGGGTTGTTGTTAGAAATCTTAATCTACAGAGTATTTGAAATCTGTATTAGATTAAATAATATGTAATTGATTATTTTAAATTGTTTTTGATGTACAATACAAATAGCAGTTTCATATTATATTATTCATCATATAAAATCTTGCCTTGTGGCCTATAATAGTTAACTTTACATAAAAGTATGTATACATTATTGTTGAGAGCAGAGTTCTATCTGTATCTGTCTATAAGATGAACATGCTAATATGTTGTTCAAAGCATGCTAATGTGTATGTCTTACTGATTTCTTGTCTTGTGAACTGTCAATTACCGAGAAAGCTATTTGCAAGTCTTTCACTATGATCATGGCTTAGAATTTAATTCTTTTTTTAATTTTCATTTTTTGCTTTATTTATTTTGAGTTTATGTTGTTAGGATATTCATATTAGAAATTATTCCAGCTTCCTCATAAACCAAATCATGTATCATG